TCCGACGAAAACCTCCCAGTAGTTGCCTCCTAAGCCACGCCGCCGCCCTCTCGAGGGGGCCTCCCCGCAACGCCGGGTGGGGCTTCCCCACGACTGCACCGCGCTGCTGGCCGTGCCCCCTCGTGTGGGCCCCGCGCCACGTGCTCACAACACACTCCTCCTCGTCGCGAGGGGGAGGAGGAGGAGGAGGAGGAGGAGGAGGAGGAGGAGGAGGAGGAGAGAGGGAGGGAGGAGGAGGAGGAGGAGGAGGAGGAGAGGAGGAGGAGGGGAGGAGGAGGAGGAGGAGGAGGAGGAGGAGGAGGGGGAGGGGAGGGGGGGGGAGGGGGAGGGGGGGGGGGGGGGAGGGGGAGGGGGGAGGGGGAGGGGGGGGGGGGGAGGGGAGGAGGAGGGGAGGAGGAGGAGGAGGAGGAGGAGGGGGGGAAGGAGGAGCTCACACCATGTTTAAAACGAATGCACGCGGCGCTATGGCGAGAACCACAAGAAGTGGAGCTTCGGAGTCATTCGTGGTGAGGCAGTCTCAGGCGAAACGCCCGGCCTGCCACTTCGACCGGCCTCAGGCTGCGACAGGGGAGAGTTATTTATGAGGAGAAGGAATGGAGGTGGAGGAGGAGGAGGAGGAGGAGGAGGAGGAGCTCACACCAGACAGCAGACACCACGTGGGTTACACCGCATATGCTTGCACAACATTGGCTGCTGCATCACACAGCTCACACCCCATGGTCCTGAGATTCCCCAATCAGTGCTTGCACGGAAGGGGTCCTAGCGGAGGTTGAAGGATGTGGCGAAAGTTTCCCGCCGATTTTGGTCGCACGTTGGGTTCCTGGGTTCCCGGTTCCGGGTTCCCGGGCCGATTTCGGTGGGCGGCGAGGTTCCCAGATTCCGGGGTTTTTGGTCGATCTCATCGATCGGTCTCAGCATCGATCTCATTTCTCATTTCTCTATCGATCTCACCATCGATCTCACCATCGATCTCACAATCGACCTCACAATCGATTTCGCAAGCGATTTCACTAGAGATCGCACGAATGATTTCGCGATCGATCTCCCTATCGATCTCACTGAATCGATTTCACTCTCGGTCTCACGATCGACCTTACAGTCGTCCTCTATCGATTCAACGATCGATCTCATTATCGAGCTCACAATCGTGTTCAAGCTCCATATGGCTAATTTCAAATCATCCACTGATCGGGGTTTTCTCATGTGTAATTGCTTCTGTAATTCGCTGAGCCCGTGCACGCCGGTCGTTGGAAGCAGCTATTTGTTGGACTCCCAGATCCCAATCTACGTAAGCCGCCCTCCTACTTCAAGAGTCGAACGGTGTCCCACCTTCCCTCCTCTTCAGCGGGCGCGCGGAAGTCCAATCTACTTCAACCCCTTCCTACTTCATGTTTCTACCCACTTCTTCCGACCGACGGGTAACTCAGTGACGGGGGGTCACACCCCCGCCACGGCAACAAACGTACATGGAGAGGGAGATAGTTGGACCCCCCTCCCACAGCTACGACGTTGCGCTCACAGGCGTGGTGTGGTGCTGGCAATCATCGGATACCCCACAGACACCTACAGATGTGGCCGTCGTCGTCGTCGTCGTATTCGTCGTCGTCGTGTCGTCGTCGTTTTGTCGCCGCCGTCGTCGTCGTCATTGCCGTCGTCTACTCCAACGTCGTTCTCGTCGTCCTTCTCGTCGTTGTCCTCGTCGCCCTCGTCGTGGTGGTTAATGTCGTCGTCGTCGACCTCGTCGTCGTCGTTCTCGTCGTCGTCGTCGTCGTGGTCGTTGTCGTGGTCGTCGTCGTCATCGTCGTCGTCGTCGTCGTGGTAGTCGTCATCGTCGCCATCCTCGTCGTCGTCGGCGTCTCCGGGGACATCGAAGGGCCTGCAGACGCCTCCAGAGACCTCTGGAGATCTCTTGAGGCTTCCGTAGACCTCTCAGGCGGCCGTCGTCGTCGTCGTCGTCGCCGTCGTCTCCGATGGCCTCGAAGTGCATCCAGAAGCCTGGAGATGCCTCCAGAGACCTCCCGAAGCCTCTGGAGACATCTGGAGACCTCAGAGGCAGTCGTTGCCGTCGGTGTCGTCTGTTGTCGTAATTAGTCGTCGTCGTCGTCGCCGTTGACGTCTTCGCGGTCGTCGGCCTGGACATCTTCCTCGTCCTCGTCGTCTTCGTCGGCCTTGCCCTTGTCATCGTCTTCGTCGTCCTTGCCCTCGTCGCCGTCGTCGTTATCGTCTTCGTCGTCGGCGTCGTCCCCGTCGTCGTCGTTCTCGTCGTCGTGGTCCGTCCTTGTCCTCGTCCTCGTCGTCGTCGTTTTCGAATGGCCTCCAGACGCCTTCAGAGGCCTCTGGAGACGGGAGACTTCCGGAGACATTCATTGGTTGCCGTCGTCGTCATCGCCGTCGTGGTTGTCGTCGTCGGTGTCGGCGTCGGCGTCGGCTTTGTCGTCGTCCTCTCGTCGTCCTCGTCGTCGTCATCGTCCTCGTCCTCGTAGCTTTCACAAGACAGCTTACACGACAGATTCCCCACCACATAGCTTACTCCGCATAGCGTTCACCTCCACAGTGCCGTCACACATTTTTTACGGGGCCCATGCAGGCTAACATTCGGTTCCCAGGCTCGAGTATAGTTCAGGCGCCTTCCTGCTTCGAGAGTCGAGTCGTCGTGCTCCCGCTTCCTTCGTTGCAGTGTGGCGGCCGGGAGCCAAGCCTTGTTGCAACGCTTGCGTAATTGTTCTACCCACTTCTTCCGCACGATGGATACAGGGTCTGGCTTGAACAGGGAACGCTCACTTTTCAAAGGGGGCTCGGTCTTTCCTTTGGTTTGCATGCGTTTCGCTACCTTGCTGGCGGGCGGCGAGCTCCCCTGGTGTTCCCTCGAACTTCGTAGACTTACTTGGAAAAAATGGGGCTCCGTTCCTTGTTTATCGTTCCTTAGGTCAGGCCGGATACTGTGCCCATGTCTTCCGCACGATGGACATAGTCAGTGGTCGCGCAGGAGGCCGGCCCCGCCCCGCCCCCCCTAAGACTCTTCCCACCTCGAGTGGATGGGCTGGAAGGACAGATGCGGGGGCCACTCCGAGCATGGCCAGAGATGGTCTCTGGCTAGCATGGGCCACGGTAATGAATGAACGCGCGTTCTTGAAGCAACGCATTGAAATCACGATGGCTTACTAAAGCGAGAAGCAGATGTATTAAATTGCGCCGCCGAATCAACACAAGACAGACCATACTTTAGTTAACGTAAGGACCCGTTTACTAAATTCAACAACGTATTTTCTGAATCCAGGGTCGTTTCTCTAAACCCCAGATCCTATCTTTACCATGACCTGAATGGCTCGATCAGATGGGGTGAGCCATCGGTGGCTGGGTCGGATCGCAGCCCAGACGTAGTTCGCAGGACGTGCTGATTCGAGATGCCTCGAGGTCGTCTGCAGTGTACTGCAAATGTCTCTCGCAGTGCCCTTTGCGCCCTTGGTCCCTCCATCTTTGCCCGCCGACTCCCGGCGTCGTGCTACCGGGGTGAAGGTGAGCAGGAGGAGGGCTTGGCCAACCGCCCGTCTAATGGTCAGGGAGCCGCGCCTTGGCGTGTGTGAGTCTATGGTTGGACCGTTAGGGTGGCGTTCCTGGTGCCCCGTTCGGGGCCGTTGTGGGGTCTCTTGAATACTTGTTGGCTTCTCTTGATGTGCTCGGTTCCGATCTGATAGTCGTGGGGCCGCCTGGCGGGGTCTACAGGCAGACTCGGAGCGGCCGGGGGCCGTCTTGGAGGCCAGCTGGGGGCCAACTCCTGGACCACCTTCCTCAAGAATGTCCTCGTTGGGACAGGTTGAGCCCAAATGTGGGGAACAACGTGGCAGATTTTGTGACGACTGGTGTCTTTGGGGGGGCGGCTCCGCGGGACTTTCTGGAAGCTTCCTTCGACTTTTCAAAGCCACTCGGGGCCCTACGCATAGGCTATCATGGCTTGTGTTGGGCGATCTTGGGCGGTAAGGGGGCCATCTGGAGCTGTTTCGAGGACGTCTGGAGCTTGGCTACGGATTCCGAGAGCCCCCGAGAGGCCGATAAGGGCTTCGAGGAGCTCGTGGGGCGATCTCTCGAAGGACGAAACGCATAAACATTAACTTTTGGAGCTCCGCCCCGATTTCTTGGATTGGTTCTCGGCCCCCCTGGCGGCGCCTCCAGCGCCGCTCCAGGCGCGCTCTGCGCGCCAGGGAGGGGAGTACAGCGCCGATCTAAGAAATCCGCGCGGACCTCAAACAGTTGATTTACATGTTTTTGGGTACAAAGATATTATATCTAAGGAGCTCGTGGGGGGATCTCCCTTCCTACACCTTTCGGAAGAGATGTTGGACCTCCGGGGAGGATCGACCGTGCACCGAGGGAGGTAGGGGGATGGGAGAAGGCTTCATAGAAGCACGGTGCTTCTTAGAAGGTGCAGGCCTTACCTGTAGGTGTCAGGCCGTCGCCTTCTAGGAAGCAGCCCTTTTCTAAGAAGCCTTCCCCCCTACCCCTACCCCCACTTGTACGCGCGGCCAAGAGGGGGGGCAGGGGCAGGAGGGCAGCAAATCGTCTCGCACGCCTTCTCGGCCCCGAGCGGTTTCTTGCTCCAGCGGTGGCCCACATAATTTCTCTTGCGCCATGTCCTGTGTCGGCCACGCGCAGAGGGGGGGTAGGGGGCAGGGGGAAGGCCGGGGAAGGCGTCTTCGAGGTGCCCGTGCTTTTTGAGAGGCGTGGGCCTTCTCTGTAGACGTAGGGCTGGAGCCTTCTGAGAAGCAGCCTCCCTCCAGGGAGCCTCCCCCCTCCCCCTATCCCCTACCCCGTTGCGCGCACCGTCCACTCTGTTCGCAGTGACATCTCCACCAAGAGCGATAGCGATACGATAGTTTAGCTCGATGGCCATTTTGCCGTGTGCCGCGGCCCCCTTTGGCATTTGTTGCTGGACAGGGGCGCACAGCGCAATAACCACCCTAGCAACATTCTAGGCCTCCTAGATGGGCTCCGATTAGATGGGGTCGGAGGATCGCGCCGCATTGCCGATGCATCGATGATGAGGCTCGATGTGGAGCCCGATTTTCTCCACGCTGGCGTCGCCGATGCGTCGCCGATGTCGCCGGTGCATCGTCGATACATCGGTGATGTATCGCCGATGTATCGGCGATGCGGCGCGATCCTCCGACCCCATCTACTCGGACCCCATCTAGGAGGCCTCAGCATGCTCCCCTCTGCACGTGCTGCTCTTGCAGCGAGGTGCTCATGTCCGCGGTGGCACGCGCCGGTGGTTGCGCCCCCCCCCCCCCCTTTGCTGGCCTGCGCGCCCCCTCGCTGCTCTCTGCGCTGATGGCAGCTTGGTGTCAAACGAAACGGTATATTCGGAGTGATGTGTTTGCATTCGTGAGCGTTTTTGTCATTACTTGTTTTGCCGGTCGGCGCGGACCCGCGCTCCCCCCCCATGGAGCAGATCTCGGCTCTGTTGTGGCGCCTGCTTCAGGCCGGCGGGGCCCCTCCCCCACAGGATGCGCTGCCGCAAGCAGTCGCACTTAGCAGAGGTCCTCCCGCCCGATGTCGAAACGACGAATAAGAAAACGCTCACATTCGGATTGATTCGGGGGAGCGTAAGACCCGGGTTTGCCAGGACTCGGGTTCGCCATCGTTTTTTGACGACCGCGACTCGGATTTTGACGAGGAGGAGTTTTGTGGGATGTCTGCAGCGGGAGGCCTCGTCAAAATGCAGGCTCGGCCTCGTCATTTTTTTGACGAGGGGATTTCCGAGTCCCCCGTACCCGGGTCTTGCGTCTCCCCGATTGATGTGTTTGCATTGCCAGGCGCTGCAGCGAGCGAGGAAGAAAAGACGCCTTGAGCACAAAATGTTGGCGCTCCGCGCGCGGATTTTTCTTGGACCTGCGCTGGAGCGCCCTGGCGACGCCTCCGGCGCTGGCCCTGGCGCGCTTCGCGCGGAGCGCGGGCTCTTTCTCCTCCTCCTCCTCCTCCTTCTCCTCCTCCTCCTCCTCCTCCTCCTCCGCCTCCTCCTCCTCCTCCTCCGCCTCCTCCTCCTCAGGTCCACGACATCCGCGCGGAGCGCCAAAAGTTTGTGTTCATGGCGTGCTATTTCTCTTCTGAGCCGTGAGAAGGATACACCCCGACGGACGGGACACCCGAGCGACATGTGTCGCCAAGCTTGCCAACTGCGGCTGCGGAGCAGGTCTGCAAGCGAGTGCTCGGCTTTTTGAGAGTGGTGTATCGATGCGTAGATCCCAAGAGGTCGAACTGGCCGGTTTCTTGGGAGGTCTGCGGTGTCTTTCTGATCCAGGTCACATCGGTTGGACGGTGGCAATACGTACCAGCAGGTTTTTGATCAATGAAGTGGGTTGACCCAGGCTGGGTCTGAAATCAAAATGAATTGAACATCTTAATTGTTTTCGTCGCTGCCCATAGCGAAGTCTCATTTTAGATAGTGGTTGCAGCTGTGTTGTTGGCCTTCCTAGATTTCGAAACTCGCCCTTACCACTGTTTTCTGCTCTTGCCTTGGTTGTTGTCAATTTCATGTTGGCCATCTCTCCACATGGCATCCTCGTCTTGGCCGATGGCCTGAGTGGACGGTTTTTGTCGTTGGCCCGCCCGATGTCTTGTTTTTCCCAGTGTCCGATCATTGTGTTTATTTTGATTGCAGCCTTCATTGATTTCGGCCTCCTGGTAACATGTCGGCGACCCAGATCAAGGCGTTCGATTGCAGCAAGGCGGCGCACTCGCACTGTCGGACTCGGCTTCCTTCTCGAAGACGAATTACGTCCTGTGGCCATATTTCAGAACTTCTGGGACACCACCATTCCGCCCTGAACCTCTGTTCGGCACCGCCGATGCGCTGTGTCAGCGTTAAACAGAGAGTTCTTGTGGCGGCAACCGCGTGGCCAGAGTGTCTCGCTGCAGGTGTCTCTCGGCCGTTCGCGCCAGGGAGCCCAGCTCCGCAAGTGAAAACGCTTCGGCGCGCAAACACCGATAGGAGGAGGAGGAGGAGGAGGACGACGAGGAGGACGAGGAGAAGGAGGACGGGGAGGAGAAGGAGGAGAAGGAGGAGGAGGAGGATGAGGAGGAGGAGGAGGAGATAAAGGAGGAGGAGACAATGTTGTCGGGCCCCAGCGGGGCCTGCTCGGCCGTCGTCGCTGTGATCTGCGGGCGAGGGAGGAGACGCGCCCGTCTGCCAGGGTATGTGTGGTGCGGCTGGCCGTGCCCGAGCAGCAAGCTTGCCGAGCCATCTGCCGCGGTGGTGGATGCACAGCGAGCCCTCGACCCGTCACTAGCCTTAGGTCGGGCGTGTCCCCCTACAGGGGGGGGGTTCGACGAACAATCAAACATACCTCGAAAAAAGCTCCAAAAAGGGCCAAGCATACTCAACAAATCGTCCCCCAACTATTTTTAGACTATTTTTAAATGTGTGAGGGTGTGAACAAATAACTGTGTGGCCTCGGCCACCGCTCCCAGGATACGTTCCCGTCGGTGCTCACGCACATTTGCGGCGATGGCTTGCGCGCGAGATGGGGCACGACCCAACAGGCGGAGAGTTGACTAGAGACACCGCCGCCACTCAGCTCGTTCCGCAACTGCCCCGCTGAATGTCAGGAGGGGGAAAACATACAGACACCATGAATCGTCGATCCCTGGAACATATGGGGAACTATAGACAGTGGGGAGGGAAACGAAAACCCAGAACATATTGAAACATATGAGGAATTATGGGATGTGTGGGAGGAATGGGGGGGAAGGAGGAGGGGAAGGAGGGAGGGGGCAGCGGGAGGAGATGAGACGTGGGGCGCTGTCTCGTCAAAACGAGGACCCAACACCACAGGATGGTTGGGAAATGTGAGGAGTCTTGGGAGTCGTATCTAATTATTTGTCTGTCCCTGGGCCCCTTCAGAATGGTTGGGGCCCCCCCTTTGTCGGGGTCGGGGCTGATGCAGAGAAAGAGGCGCCTCCACTGCACAACCTCAAGGCTTCGACTAGGGGCGAGCTGCTCTGCGGTCGCGCCTGCGTCTCGGGCCTGGCCTTGGGGGGAGCCCCCATCGCGGGCAAAAGTGTGGCCCGGGGGAACGAAGGGGCAGAGCGTGACAGGATGATGTTGATGATGATGCTGGTCATGATCATGCTCATGATGATGATGCTGATGCTGATGCAGCTGCTGATGATGCTGCTGATGCTGCTGCTGATGATGAGGATGCTGATGAATATGCTGATGATGGTGCTGGTGCTGATGCTGATGATGATGATGATGATGATGATGGTGATGATGCTGGTGATGATGATGACGACGACGATGATGATGATGATGATGATGATGATGATGATGATGATGATGATGATGGTGCTGCTGATGATGATGCTGATGATGATAATGATGATGCTGATGATTGTGATGCTGATGATGATGCTGATGATGATGCTGCTGATGCTGATGCTGCTGCTGCTGCTGATGCTGCTGCTGATGCTGATGCTGATGTTGGTGAGGAGGAGGAGGAGGAGGAGGAGGAGGAGGAGGAGGAGGAGAAGGAGGAAGAGGAAGAGGAAGAGGAGGAGGAGGAGGCGGAGGAGGAGGAGGCGGAGGAGGAGGAGGAGGAGGGAGGAGGGAGGAGGAAGGGCCATGACGAAGTTGCAGGTTGATCATGTAATCTGCTTCCGAGGCGCCGCGCGAGCGACGGCTGGCGCGCGCCCGCGCGCGCGCCAGGCTGGAGGATCGACTCCGCAAGGCGGGGCGCTCAGACGGCCCCTCTCGGGCCGAGCAGCCCACTGGTCAGATGTGCCGAGTTGGAGCGGCGCAGCGCGCACACGGGGGTGGCGCGAGGAGGGGGCGGGGTCTTCGAGATGCCGGGGGGGGGGCTTCTTGGAAGGCAGGGGCCTCCTCAGAGAGCCCCAGAGGCGTCCAACTCCGGCGTCTCAGAGGCCTCCAGGGCGCTCCGAAGCCAGGGGGCCTCCTTGGCGTCGAGGGCAGGGGCCTTCGCAGAGCGCCCTGGAGGCTTCCCAGGGAGCTTCTCAAAGGCCTCCTGGCGCTCACAAGAAGCCCCCCCCCCCAGCCTTCCGAGAGGCCCCTTGCCTTCTGGGGAGGCGCACCCCCCTTGGCGCCCCCCCCCTCGTGCGCGCCGCCAGATGCGGCACCGCAGGCGAGTTCTCTCTCCCCCCAGTCCGCGAGACCCTGAACAGACTGGCCGCGCAGAAGAGGAGGGAAGCTCGGGACACGCCCCCAGGGAGGCTGCCCGAGAGCGCCCCCCATCGAGGACGAGCGGGCGTTTCCCCCCCCCCCACCCCACGGCATATCCTCTGTATGTCCAACCCGCGGGCGTCCTCCTCTTCCTCCTCCTGCTGCTCCTCCTCCTCCTCCTCCTCCTCCTCCTCCTCCTCCTCCTCCTCCTCCTCCTCCTCCTCCCCCTCCTCCCCCTCCAGGGCGGTTTGCCGTTACTTGCTGTGCAGTCGAACCCCAAGGTTGGGGTCGCCACGCCCCTCGCTGGTGCCGCGGGGTCAGAGGGGGGGCGGCCCCTGGATGCTTCCGGGAGGGCCAGGCTCATGATGTTCCAGCCTACTTCAGCCTCGCTCACCAGAGATACTTTCGAGCACCAGGAGAAATACGGAATCTTGAGGGTTTTCACGTGTCGGGCCCTGGGAGGCGATACTCGTTCGACAGTGTTTCGGCACTCGTTCTGGGTGCTCGAAGTTAAGTACGATGGGAGCAGCGTAAGGCCATGGGGAGAGTGGGCGCTCGGCAGTGGTGCCAGAGCCTGACTTCGGCATACTGGCAGCCCTCTGAATCGGGCGCGTGAGCTCGCGGGAGGTCGTGGCGCAGGCTCACTCGGATCCGAGACGCGAGCCGTTCCTCCGCGCGCCCAGAGTCCTTGTCTTTCCGTCGCGCATGCCCCCCCCTCTTGGCCAACACCCGGTGGACAGTGGCAGCCCCTTCAGGGCTGCGGTCTCTCAGCTGTCATGGTCCTCCGGAGCCTGTTTTTTTGTTGCTTGGCGCATAGTGGGCATTCCAGCCCCCGGCCCCCGCCCTCCCATAACGGAACGCCCCTCCCACCCAGTGCGTTCCAGGCATTGCGCACGGCGGGGGGGAGGCGTTACATTATACCCCTCCCCCATGGGCACGCTGGGGGGAGGCGTTACATCATACCCCCCCCTGGCCTCTCGCCCCCCACAATGTCCATTATCGCCGGACATCAAGGAACGCGCTCCCGAGAACCGAGATCCTCCTCCTCCTCCTCCTCCTCCTCCTCCTCCTCCTCTCCTCCTCCCCCTCCTCCTCCTCCTCCTCCTCTCTCTCCTCCTCCCTCCCCTCCCTCTCCTCCTCCCCTCCTCCTCCTCCTCCTTCTCTCCTCCTCTTCCTTCCTCCTCCTCCTCCTCCCCTCCCCTCCTCCTCCTCCTCCCCCTCCTCCTCCTCCTCTCCTCCTCCTCCTCCTCCCTCCTCCTCCTCCCTTCTTCCTCCCTCCCTCCCTCCCTCCCTCCTCCTCCTCCTCCTCCTCCTTGTCCCCTCTTCCGCCTCCCTTCCTCCGCCTCCTCCTCCGTAGCTATTTTGGCTCATGCGAGCTGGCTTACAGGAGGCCCACGCGCGGCGCGCGCCCCGCCGCGGCGCGTCGGGCGCGCGCATGCCTGGGAACGATGGCAGCGCTGGCGCGCTGCATGGCAAGGAATGGGCCGCCGCCAGCGCACGAACACTCGCCCGACTCGCCCGCCGGCTTCGGCGCGAGCGGCGCGCGGAGCTGGGCCTCTCGCGCGCGGCGGCCCTGGCGTACAGGACGGCGGCGGTCCGCAATTCCGTGGCGGCGCACTGGCGGCTCGGGGACCGGCTGGGATGCCACCTCCCCAGCATGGGAGAGGCAGTAGCCGCGGCGAGGATGTTGGGTGCCCCGGCGGAGGAGTTGAGCGCTGCGGAGGAGGCCCTTGCGACGGGCAATTGGGCGAGGCACAATCCTCCCCCAGGGATGGGGCGAGGTCGCCTGCCCGCGAGTCCGCCGTTCGCGCTCAAGGCGGAGACCTTCGAGGACTTCAGGCTCGAGCTCTACGGCGTCGTCTCCGGATGCTGTGCGGCGGCAGCGGCCCAGGGGTTCGCGCGGGCCCAGCAGGCGCCGCGGGCCAAGCATGACGTGCAGGTCGAGAGCGCCGTGGAGGAGCGCGAGGAGCAGGATGAGTCCTCGGAGACGGAGGTATCGCAAGAGAAGAGCGACACGACGGAGCAGGTGCAGAACAGCGAGGGCGCGGCCCCAGGTCCCGGCCCCATAGCTGACGCCTGAGAATGCAGGGAAGCCTGCGGGCCCTCTGTGGCCAACAGGGGAACCAGTAGTCTCAGCAACGACGCATCAGGTGAGTAGCGGAGCTGATGGGAAGCCCGTGCAGGGCTTCGAGGCAAACGACGGGATGCCGATGGCCTTCCAGCAGGCTATTTGCGTCACTTTCTCGAGGGCACGCAGAAGGAGCTGGATATAGCATCGTGAACCCCAATGTCATGAAGGCAGCCGCGAACGAGACGCAGGATGGTCTGGACGTGGACTTCATGACCCCGTACGTCGTCACGAAGGAGCCCGTGCGCGGCTTCGAGGCCAACGGCGGGATGCAGACGACCATGCAGCAGGGCGTTTGCTTCACCGTCGAGGTCGAGGGCAAGCAGAAGGAGTTGGATGGCATCGCCAAGCCCACTGTCGTGAAGGCGGCGGCGAACGAGACGCAGGAAGATCTGGACGTGGACACCGTGACACCGAGCGTCGTCGAGAAGAGGTTCGAGGTGCACGAGGTGCTGGGTCTAGACATGGACATCGAGAGCTCGCACTTTGTCGAGAAGAGGTTCGAGGTCAGTGAGGCGATGGCGTTCGGGGCGAGCACGGGGCAGTTCCACAATGAGGCCGTGAAGGCAGAGGCGAACGAGATGCAGGAGTTCGACGAGACTGCGCAGGGCTTCGAGGTCAACGACGGGATGCCGATGGCCATGCACCAGGGTGTTTGCTCCACCGTCGGGTTCGAGGGCAAGCAGAAAGAGTTAGATGTCATCGTCAACCCCATCGTGATGGGTGGTGGTCGTATTGCAGCGGTGCAACCTGGGGGAGCCGTGAATGCAGACCCCGAAGCGGAAGCGGAGATGATTGCCCTCCGCACGGCGGTCGAAGCGGAGGACGACGTTGCGGAGCGCCTCCGCCGCTGCTCGGCTACCGGCGTGGCCGCGGCGCGGGCGCTGGTGCGGCTGCAGGAGGACCCCGCGGCGCCCACAGGCGCCGCCGCGCGCGCCGCTGCGGCCCTCGATCTGGCCGCGCAGCAGGAGCGGAGGGCAGAAGAGCAGCACCGTTCGCGGAAGGCCTGTGCCTGGGAGATGGCCTGTGCGATGGTGCGCGAGGGAGCCTCGGGGCCCGAGGGGGCCAGGCCCCAGCAGCCAGAGCCGCACGCTGCCTGAGGCCCCTGGAGAACAGCGGGGCGCATAGGGCAGGAGTGGCAGGCGCTGGGCGTCGTGGCCTCGGGGGCTCGGCGGCGAGTGCAAGCAGAGGCCGCCGTCG